GCAAGGCAGATACCAACCTCAAGAGTGGTTTGCAGGTCTGTATTGTTTTCCTGTGTTTTTTTATTATTGTCTGTCACATTTTTCTCTTCGAACACTTTGTCTTCTTGGCCTCCTTTTTCCCCTTTCAAAAAATCACAATTGAAATTACAAACAAAAAGTAGCCATTCATTTATATAAGGATGAAGATAGCCTTACCTTTCTGCTTTTGTTTATCCACCAAGAATGCTGATGCCTCACCATCTTGTTCTTCAGGAGCACTAGCAGGTGACTTGGAATGCAATTCAGTTTGTTGAGTGGAGTTTCGTTTGTGGCAAACTTCAAATGCTTGGCCAACTGTCCTTACAACATGAACTGCTTCTGTCTGGATATACAGACAAAAAAAGTTCATTCATCTCAAGATTCCCATTCTTGTTTGTTGGTTTTACCCACTACCAGATTACTGAGTGGCAGCATGTTACACACTTACTATGCCTTAGCCTGCCGCGCAGACGTTTTTAGTGTTGGCTCGTTCTTTGTCTGCGTGGCAGGCTAACTATGCCTGAGCTCTTCTACACCTGTTCATTTTTTGACAGGATTCTGTGTGGCTTAGCTAATGTTGTGAATACATTCTTGGCACATATTTCTGTACCTTGTTAGTAGCTTTGAACACACTGCACTTGAAATGTTCATCTTCCTTAGCAATGTAACTAAATATCTGGAGATCTTGGGAGTCATGTGACACATAAAATATCCTAGAATCAAACACTAAATCAGAAAATTGTCATACATAATATGTTAATATAATATAATATTATGTTGTATTGTAAGAATATTTGAAATGGGAAGCCTGTGCTTGCTAAATGGCTTTCAATTCATCTACAATAGACCTATCAAAATGCAGGGAAAGAAAACCTTGCAATCACTGCACAATGCCTACTATTTTTAAACTTACTTGTGAATGGGATAATTGGACAATTCTACTTCAACAAACTCTCTCATTTTCTTTTTCTAGGATTAAAATAAATTATCACTTTAATTAAATGTACATTGGAGCATTTCTCATCGTAGATGTAAAAGGTAAAAGTCTTATGTCCTTAATATATTAATTATTGCTAGTGACAGAAAATCCCAACATTAAAATTAAAGCTTCTAATGATAATTTTAGGTGAAGGATGATGTTGTGAAGTCCCCCTAGTCGAAGGCTAAAGTTCGAGTATGTGGCATTCCCTACTCACTACCACTACATTTAATAATATTCTAAGCACACAACTCTCAAGCCATATGTTATGTAAAGTACATCAGTAGAGAAAACCCCACATAGCAAAGGATCCGAGTTTGACATCTCCATCAAGTTGGTCTCAAATATGTCTAAGAGCTAGATATGAATCAAATCCAGACCAAATGAGCATTCATTGAGTCCATTAATACCTATTCAAGTACAGATTTACCATGCTATTAATCTAGTGCATTCGCTATATAAAGTGTTCTTTGGGGRGTTGAAAGCTTTATTAAGTGCATCCTCCTCCAAAAATACATAGATTATAGACATTACCTTCCAGTTATATTTGCAATCATCATTTCCAAGAGCAATTTCAAGATTGATCTCCCGCAGTTATGTGATGGCTCACCTGAAATATATTTCCTTTGGGTTTTTGYCGTATTACTTTTAACCCATCCAGTCCTATTTCAATAATTGCTATTTGCTTTTTGATTCCTTGAAGTTTATAATCATACTACACAAGATAAAGAAATGAAAAGAAAGAATATCAACAGTGCAATTTWTTTTAAGACTATGACTTTTAGAAATAAAAACGACTAAGTTTGAATACAGCAAGAATAATGATCCTGATAAACTAGTAAAAATAATAGGAAAAAAGATTWAAAATTGTTGCACCCCTCTTCTTGATAAATTATGAACCCTGCCTCGAATCATATTTTCATAAGGAGAACAATTTTATTACAGAATTGACATAATCTTGTCACTACTTCTTAGAGCAGCACTTGGATGAAAAC